CCCACTCGGTCCCAACAAGGAATCATCTGGCCCAAAATGTCAATGGTACTGAAATTGAGAAATGCTGATCTGAGTAAATTCCAAGTGAGTATCAGTGACTTCTACGCAGCGGGGTGGGAGCCGGGCGATGAGGGGGCGGCAGGCTCCCTCTGCCCACCCCTGAGCTCACCTCTTCCCCTCTGGCAGTGTCTGCAAGCAGAAAGCACTCAGCTAAAATCTCAACACTTGTCGGCTGAGCTGAGACGTGAACTCAAAGCAAGTCAGGGGAACCAATCGCAAAAATGCTAAGCCATTCTTAACAGGCACTTTTCGAAACACGCAACGTAAGCCCAAGTCTACAACTCCTATAGTGGTTTGCTTCTCTTTCCAAACCCTGTGCTTGTCTTTTTGACTGGTTATCTTGGAGATGATTAGACATGTGGAACATCTTCACAGGACTGTTTCTGTTATAAAACGCTTGTCCAGAGAGTGGCTAAATGCTAAAATGAGTCAAGGTTAAAAAAAAAAAAAAAAAAAGGAGGATTCAACACAAGTACCTGAAAGACTAGAAGCTTGGTTGGTTAATAATTTAGATAATTTGAGGCAAATGAAATTAAATGGGTAATTTTATATTAAGATATAATTCACATACAGTACAATTCATTTAAAGTTTATAATTTAATGGTTTTTAGGCATAGTCGCAGAGTTCTGCGACTTTCACCACAATCATTTTTAGAACATTTTCAATCACCCAGAAAAAAAAAAAGCATCAATTAGCAGTTATGCCCGATTCCCTCTTCTCCCCGCCCTCTGGCAACCACCGATCTACCTCCTGTCTCTATGGATTTTCCCATTCTGATCATTTCATACAAATCAAATCATATAATGACGTGACTGACTCTTTTCACGCAGCGTGGTGTTTCTAAGATTCGCCCATGCGGTAGCGTTGCTTTTGATTATCGAATGATATTTTGTTTCACGGATATACCACACTTTATGTATCTACTCATCAGCCAATGGACGTTTGAGTTATTTCCACTGTCCCCAGGGCCCCTGCAGCTTTGATTCAGGCCCTCGCCTCTCACAGACAGGCTCCCCATAGACCACCTGAGTCCAGCCCGACCTACTAAGTCATCCCCGGCTTCTATGCAAGAGGGACATTTCAGGGACACAAAGCCAAACCTACCACACCAACCTCAGTGGCTGCCCCAGTCTTTAGGAGAAAGCTCAGGGCCCTGGCTTAGCACACGAGGCTCATGGAATTGGGGATCCCCCCAGAAAAGTCCTAAGCCCCCAGCACCTCAGAATGTGGCCTTCTTTGGAAACAGTCTTTGTGGAGGTAATCAAGTTAGCATGCGGCCACCGGGGTGGCCTCTGATCCAATGTAACTGGTGTCCTTATAAAAAGGGGAAATTTGGATACAGAGACAGACACATCAGAGGAAGACCACGTGAAAACATGCAGGGAGGAGGAGGACACGTGACTGGGGAGTGATGCATCTGGAAGCCAAGGGGGACCCAGGGCTGCAGGCAACACCGGGGGGCTGGGAGAGGCCAGGAAAGACCCCCACTAGAGCCTTCGAGGGAGCATCCCCACTTTGGGCTCTGCCCTACGCAGTGGGAGACAACGTGCTTCCCTCCAGTTCTCAGTCCCCCAGTCCTGGCGCGTTGTGTCAGCAGCCCTAGGAAGTGAAGGCGCCCGGTGTACTTGCAGCCTCCTGCTTCCTGCGCTAGCTGCTCTGTGAGTTCCCCGGGTCCTTTACTGCTTAGGATGTTTCCTGCCCCTCCTGTGCCTCTGTGCAGGGGTCGGCGGCCATGTCAAGGCACTTGAGAATGAGTTTCAGGGGCGTGACGTGTACCAACCATGGCTCGCCCTCGTGCAAAGAGCCATGAACGTGGGCGTGGGAAAGGCAGCCTCCCCTGGGCTCTCTTTTGGCCCCACTCGCCGTGTAAAAATGGTCCCGGCGTGGAAGTCTGCCCACCCAGAGCATAGGCAGCCTTGTCACCTAGCCTAGGGATGCCTTTCCACGCTAGGGAAGTTTCCACGCGTGGGGATGCCTTTCCAGTTTCAGGCTTGAAGAAAGATCCTTTGTCTTTGCTTGCAGCGTGCAGGACCACATGGGACCCAGCCAACCCGCTGTTGCATCTCCCCTCCAAGGGGAGGGGCCGGGGTCTTTCTATGGCAGCTTCGTCGGGGTGGAGGGGCCAACTGCTGTCATAAACACCTGCTGGCCGTGGGTGATCACTGCTGGAGTTGTCTCACTCTGTCTTTCTCCCATGCAAGAAAGGCGTGTTGCATCCGGTGCGTGACCATGTTGTGCTCTCGGAGACCCCAACAGCAAGACTCTGATAGCAGTGGGCAAAGGTGTTCGGCCTTCTTTCCCTGGCGGTTGGCACAGGGAGGGTCTTCACTACCCTCAGTGAAGTAGAAGTCCTCCCCTGGCATTGGTGCCTGGTACCCAGTGATCTGCTCTGATGGTTTGGTGCTGTGAACAGGGTTGCCAAGGAAACACAGCGGGGCAGGGAAGTCACGTGTGGGCCTCTCAGCCTCTCCATCTCAGGGTGGTGCTGGCTGCCCAGAGATGAGCTGACTGAGGTACTGGCTGCCTTCTGGCCCCGTGGAAACAAAGGAGCTGCAGACAACCTCTCTCTTAACAGGAAGGAGCTGGTGCACTGGGCGAGGGCAGACGTAGGAGAGGCAGGTGCTTCGAGGAGAGCAGGGAAACCCTCCGCGGCCTTCGGCCACCCTCCCGCTCCCATGTCATTTGGTGTTCCTTTCAGTTTCTGCTTGTTTTTCCTTTCTCTCTAGCGCCTTCAGACAGCTTGAAAAAATTTTTGGGGGGTAAGAATTTATAACGATTACCTGTCTGGTCTGATAAGAACTACCGTTGTATTACCAGAAGACAAAAATGCTTGTGGGTGAATTAAGTATTCTTTGTCATGTGAAAAATCCCAGTGAGATTTTGTTTGACCTCGTATTAAATCTGTAGCTTAATTTGGGACAAAACCAAGAGTATCACAATGTTAAATCTTCCCATCCCGGACACTGCGTGGCTCTTCCTCTATTCTCCCTAGATTTATTTGTACCTCCCACTGGGGGAGAGAAAACGCCTCCACAGTGACCAGATCCCTAGGCGCACCCCGCCTTCTTACTTGGCTTACAGCATCTGGTCAGGTTAGGGTGTGACCACAGCAATGAAAGCTGGAAAGGTGGCCCTGGGATACACGCTCCGCAGCAGGTGTCCAGTGCAGTGACAGCCGCCCAAGGAACAGGGACCACTGAGCTCTTAACAGAAGGAAGGCCACCCAGCTCCAGGGACTTGCTACTGCTTCTGTTGACATGGTGGCAGCAAGAATCCTTAAGGGCAGCTTCTCTCGCTGCTGGTATAGCAGCCACAGGGGTTCCCGTCACACACTGGGAGTTGCATTTTCCCAGCTGTCGGCTCCATTCGCCCTTGTGTTTTGAACACAGGGTGCAAGCAGCCTCGAGGCTACGCACGCAAGTCATGTTGCATGGCTTTTTGGAGAAGTGAATGGCGGGGCAGGGGCGGGCAGAAATGATAGGATTTAACCTGTGAGTAGGGGACAGAAAGGGAGCCTTGGGGAAAATGTACAGTTATGTCTCAGACAGAAAGAGACTCTGGAAAGGAGAGCAGAGAAGTTGCTGTTGGAGAGGCCGGCAGAGAGCGGAGGTCCTGAGCTCAGAGCCTCCAAGGAAGAACCCTTGGGCCTAACGCTGCCTGCCCCGTGGTGGCTGGTGTCACATGGGTGGTATCTTGGTGTGCAGGCTTGTGTCCAGGCCTGCGTCCAGGCCTGTGTGATCTCTGTGATGGGGTCATTTGCTTCAGCCTCATGTCGTCACGGCAGCCTGAGCCTGGACGTCGGTACAGCAGAAACCGAGGATGGCCAGGAGCCTGCCTGCACCGTCCCCAGGGCGAACAGGACAGGGAGGTGGCAGCTGACCGCCTGTGGGAGTCACTTTCTGGGGCCTGGCCTCATAAGCACGTGACTGCTGAGGCTGCACAGGACCCTCCCGCCCCGCCGCCCCCCCTCCGAAAGAACCCACACATTCTGTAGCCCACCCTGTTCTCGAGGAATCCATTCTCATGAGGACCCAGGCTGTAAATGACCTTGGAGAGGCGCCCGAGCACACGCCGCAAGTGTCAAAGGCCTGGGTGAGGGCACAGCCCACCGCCTGAAACCGAGCAGTGGAAGACCGTGCCTGCAGCAGCGCAGAAGAGGGGAATGTCCCACAGGGCACAGGCGTGGCGGCGGGGGGCGGGGGGGAGCGTGCTCTCTGAACCCACTGTGTCCCTGCCCATCTATGCTGTATATAACACCAGCCTTTATTCCCGGAGGTGCAGAGAAATCTCAGCAAGCTCTGGGTTGTCTTTATCAAGACTCAAGCTCGGGGGTCCCTCCAGATGTTTTCATAGTTGATAGCTGCTCAAGCAGACTCTTCCGTGAACATTGTAAGAGATGTCCTTGTGTAGAAGAGGGACAAAACCAAAGTCATGGTGCCCTTCCCCATTGCAGAAAGCTGTCTTAGGCATGTTATATGTACTCGCTGGAAGTGTTCTTTGTTACCCACCAATGGAAGGAAAGAGTTTTAAGAGTTCTCAAATAAGGGCACATCTAGCAGAAAGGTTCTGGTTGGGGACCAGGCAGATCCCCAACCAGATTGGACCCCTTGGAGCTCAGCCACAGCCCTGTAGATTCAGTTCACAGAGGAGTGGGTGGTGAACGGTTGAAACGGGCATCCACAGCCTTGTTTGGGGAATTGAATGAGAAACAAAGAGAGTGAACTAGAAGGTTCACTGGAGAAAGCAGCAGACTCAGATGAATTTCTCCAAAATAAGGGGATCGTTATCTCCCCAGTAAATGTAGAAAGGTGAAGGATGGGGCAGATTCATTCTGTAATGATTAACCTTTAAGTAGGGCGCTCTGCCCTCTAATGACATGCTGTTCTGTTCATTGGTTTGGTGATGTGATAAAACCAAGAAAACACAGGCACGAGTCACAGGCTGTGCTGGGAAGTCAGCTGCTCGTACATCTGCGGAGATGGCCACAGGACCCCCGCTCCCCCTGCCTGTGCTCACGGGGCTGCTGCTCTTGCTGTGTGCTGGGCCCTGCGCTGAGGGCGGGAAGGTGCTGGTGGTCCCCATGGAGGGCAGCCACTGGCTCAGCATGCGGGAGGCTGTGCGGGAGCTCCACGCCAGGGGCCACCAAATAGTGGTGATTTCACCGGAGGTGACTTTGCACGTCAAGGAGGAGGACTTTTTCACCCTGAAAACCTATGCCATTCCATTCACCCAGGAAGATTTTCAGTATGTCATGGTGGGCCAGGTACACAGGATTTTTGAAAGAGAACATTACCTAAAAACATTTTTTAAAATTATGCCAATTTTGAAAAATGTGTCTCTTGTCTTCCAAAAGTCTTGTGAGGAGCTGGTGCATAACAAGGACCTGATCAAGCAATTGAATGCTAGCGCCTTTGATGTGGTTTTAACGGATCCTGTCTACCCCTGCGGGGCAGTGCTGGCTCAATACCTGTCCCTTCCTGCTGTGTTTTTTTTGCGTGCCATTCCCTGTGACTTTGACTTTGAGGGCACACAGTGCCCAAACCCTTCTTCGTATATTCCTAGGTTATTAACAAGGAATTCGGACCACATGACATTCCTGCAAAGGGTCAAGAACATGCTCTACCCTCTGGCCCTGACGTACGTTTGCCAAATTTCTTTACCTCCTTATGCAAGGCTGGCCTCTGAGCTTCTTCAGAGAGAGGTGTCAGTGGTAGAGGTTTTCAGCTATGCATCCATTTGGCTGTTCAGAGGAGACTTTGTGCTGGACTACCCAAGGCCGATCATGCCCAACATGATCTTCATTGGGGGCATAAACTGTGCCAACAGGAAGCCATTATCTCAGGTCTGTATCAATCCTTATATTCAATCAGTGCGCCAGGCAGGATGCACTTTATTTTTTAAGCTAATTCCAGGTGCTGACTTATGTACCAATGTTCTCTGTGGATTTCTCCCTCTCATTCTCCTTCTGAGTCTTTGGTGAGCAAGGTTGTTCAAGTGGCTTCAGTGCTGTGGCTAAGGTTTGCAATGGTTAGTAAGAGGAATGAGAGGCAGGCGCAATGTTCTGCAAACAGGATTTACAAACAAGGCTGTGATTCATCCAAGATTATCCTTTGATAAAAGTACCATCCTCAGGGTTGTGCAATTTTCGTCCGCTCCGTAGGAGCAGAGAAACTGAGTTGTGAGCTGATGCATCAGGGAGTTTTTGCTAGTGGGGTTCAGTGGAAGGACAAAGGCATGAGCACACTGCATTGGCTGGCATGATCATTTACAGTGATCTTTTCTCAGAAGGGACTGAGGAGGAATGTCATTCAAGCCACATATGTTATTTAAAACTTTTTTGTAGGCACATTAAAAAAAAGCCAAAAGTATGTTAATTTTAATACACTTTATGCAACCCATAGATCCAAGACATTATCCTTTCACCGTATTCTCAATATCAAATGATTAATGAGATATTTACATTCTTTTTCGGGTTAGTACTGCTTTCAAAATTTGGTATGTGCTTTATACTTACAGTGCATTTCAATTTGCACTAGCAACGTTTCAGATGGTCAATGGTCACCTATGACCAATGGTCACTAATGGCTACCACATCAGACAGCATGTGGGCAACACTTGTAAATGTTCCATAGATGTACCTAAAATACATATTTTTAACTTTTCTGTTAAAAAACTCAACATGCCAGTTCTGAAAAAGATGTCTTACACTCTACCTTATTTAACTAAATTTTGCCCAATTTGTATTTGGAACTTTAATAGTTTTTACTTATATGCAGAGTTGCATGATGGGTGCACATAGTTTTATTACTGTAGTATTTTCTTCTTAGCCTTTAAAATTTTAAAAATTGTGGTAAAATACACCTAACGTAAGGTTTGCTACCTTACAATTATAAAGTATACACCTTAGTAATGTTAAGTATTTCACATAGTTTTGCGACTAATCTCTAGAACTCTTTTAATCTTGAAAATCTGAAACTATACCCGATAAATAACAACTCCCCACTACACCCCTCACCCGCCCCGGCAACCTCCATTCTTCTACTTTATGTCTCTATGAATTCGACTACTCGAAGTACCTCAAAAAGGTGGAATTATGCAGTATTTGTCTTTTTGTGATTGACTTATCTATTGACCCTGCAACGGGCACTTGGCTTACTTTTACTTTTCGGCTACTGTGAATAGTGCTGTTACGAATGTGGGTGCACAGATACCTCTTGAAGACCTTACTTTAAGTTATTTTGGGTTTATACACAGAAGTGGAATTGTTGAATTATATGGTAATTTTATTTTTAATTTTTAGAGGAACTGTCATATTGTTTTCTACAGCGTTGGCACAGTCTTACATTCCCACCAGGGGAGTATCAGGATTTCAATTTCTCCACATCTTCTCCAGCACTTCTTTTCTTTTCTCTTTTCTTCTCTATTCTAAGTAGTCCTCCTAATTAACTGTGATATGGCATCTCATTGTAGTTTTGATTTGCATTTCTGTTTGTGATGTTGAGCCTTGTTTCATGTGCTTTTTAGCCATCTGTCTATCTTCCTTGGAGAAATGTTTTTTTAAGTCTTTTGCCCACTTATGATTTTTTTTTTTTTGGTTGTTGTTGAGTTTTTGAAGTTCTCTATGTATTCTGGATATTAATTGCTTATCAGGTAAATGCTTTGCAAATATTTTCTCTCATTCTGTGGGTTGCTTTCTTACTCTGTTGATAGTGCCGTTTAATGTAAAAATTTTCAAAAGTTTTCATAAAGTACAATTTGTCTATTTTTTCATTACCTGTGTCTTAGGTGTCATACCCAAAAATCATTGCCAAATCTAATGTCAAAATTTGTCTTTTACTTTCTTCTGGGCATTTCATCACTTTAGGTTTTACATTTATGTGCTTTATTTACTTTGAGTTAATTTTTGTATATGGTGTTAGCTAAGGGTCCAACCTCATTCTTTGTGGTTATCCAGTTTCCCCAGAAATGTGTGTTTTAGAGACTGTCTTCTCCCCGTTGAATGGTCTTGCCATCCTTGCCAAAAATCATTTGACCCCCTATGTAAAGTCATGTTTATTTTTAACTTAAAAACTTCATTAAAAAACTTGCTTAAAGAGTTTTTTAATAACATTTTTAAAATGCCTCTTATGATACTTTCTTTTATGTAAGAATTCCATAAATTCACATAATATATATACTTGATTTTATTCCATTTGGTGTAAACTCGTTCTTTTGCACTTTTTTTTTTTAAGTAAGCTTTTTCTTGTTGCTCTTGTTACTGTGGGATCGTCTGGTGCTTTCCCATTTCCGCTTGGCGCAGCACGGCACGCTTCAACCTCTGCTCTCTCTCCTCTTCCTTTCACTTACAGGAACCCTGCGATTACATTGACCCTACCCAGGTAATCCAAGATAACCTTCCTATCTCAAGATCCCGACCTTCATCAAATCTGGAAAGTCCCTTTTGCCATGTCAGGTTCCAGGGGTTAGAGAGTGGACATATTTGCAGGGCCATTTCTTGTGCCTACCATGCAGAGCAAGCCTAAAGTTAAAGCTAGGCCTTATTGAAAACTTTCAAGTTCTCCTCTAAATTGTTAAGCTTTTTTCTTCTGGTTCCTTTGGCAAGGTGTGCCATCCATAGATTTCTATTTTTCAGTCTCTGTCATTGTCATCTTCCTCTCCAACTTTATCTTCTGTGTTTTTCCATTGCATCATGGGAGGGTATCTCTAAAGAGTACACTTGTATCATTGATTTTACTTTCTGTATCATCCACTGTGATCTTTTTTGCTTCCTATATGCATTTAAAAAACTCATCATCTTGCTTACTTCAAGCCAGTTACTATCCCCCCTCAATGATACAAATAAACATTTATTTTCAATGAACAATTTTATTTTCATAGAGCTCCAAGAATCCTCCTCAATTTTCAAGTATAGATAAGTCAAATGAAGCATTCTCCCTGGTTTTACATAAATAATCTTTCCTAAGTGGAAAAAAAGTGAGGTTCCCTTAGACAACTCCACCTTAACAAAGCTTATTTCTGATTGACTATACAACAAGTTGCTTATGAGTAGGAGGAAGAGTTCTCTTAAGTTACCAAGAAGTCCAAAATTCAACTGAGTGGGATAAAGATGAACAGGCTATTTCAGGAATAGGCCAATGACGACTCCCCAGAGTGTAGTCACACTCGATTGCTGGCCATCGAAGTTATACTGAGAGGGGACACAGGAGACTGGGAGCAAACACAAGGAAAGGACTCTTGTGTTTATTGAGAAAGATGACTAAGTGGAATTAGAAATTTCTACAGAGGCCGACACTTGAGGGAATGATTTCTTAAGATGAAGGAGGTCTCTCTTCCTGTTTCCTGTTTGGAGACAGAAGAGTGGCATTAGCGAGGAAGAAGACAGATCTTGTCCATCTTCTTCTAAAAGCTCCCTGCTGTGTGTGGTAAGCGGAACTAAACCAGGTGTGCATGGAGCGCCAGCCCGGGGAAGTGTCTGGCTGTTTGGATCCTGCTGAGATGGCCGCAGGTCTCCAGGTCTCTTGGGGTTTGTAGGAACGTGTCTCTCCCTGCCTGGTGCGCTCTGTGGGGAGATGCAAGAGATTCCAGGGAGTTCCTCACCGCAGGAGGCTCAAGGTGGTCATGTTTGCAACAGAGAAATGCTTTCTTTTTCTTTTTTTTTTTTTTAAATCTGAAAGCCCATTTTACAAAGAGATTTTCAATTTTGAAAATTCTTTAAATAAAATGCTTTATATTTCTGTAAAGGAGAAACTTTTCACTTAGGAACAGTACTCTGAGATAGTTCAAAACTCAGTGCTGGGTTTATCCTCCGCTATTGGAACGAACCAGAACTATTAAAGATCTATGACCTCTCAGTGACCTCTGAGACTTTTCCTGGACCCAGCTGAAGACTTCCCTGACTGTGGAACAATGGGGACTTATTTTAACCAGTTGTGTAGCTACAAATGCCCTTGCTTTGCCTTCTTCAGAGTGGTCATTTTCAACCCTTACTTGGCATATCTACCATGAAAGTATGTAGCCTTCTTCGTTTCCTGTCAAATCTCCTGACATCTTGTCTCCTCCTGCTCCCCCCCACCCTCTCTTCCAGCAAATCACTCTGGGAATATCTTCTGTCGTGTAAGTTCCTTTGCCTGGCAAGCAAATCGTCTTGTTTTTTAAAAAGCTGCTTTATTTTGATATTTTTTTAAATGATGGCTCCTTGATGCGGTTATACGGTGCCCTGTGCCCCTGTGGGACCGGGGTGGCAGACTCCTAGGCTCCCGCAGTGTAGTTATCCTGCAGGGATTGGACTTTAAGGGCACTGAAGGGTACCAAACTCATTCTCATACGGGCTGTATTTTCAGTTGGTCTAGTTCAGTTGTCTTTTTGCTCTTATGCTTCATGCAAGCCTCCCCTTGGAGGTGACTGGGGGAATGGCCCACTTTGTGATGGATTATTCCAAGGCAACCATAACCCAAGAGGGTTTTCTCTGGGGGCACAGACTGGTCCAACAAAAGGCTGCTCCCTCAGACGTGCATATGCGACCCCACCCAATCAATATTCCAAGTGAAACCTGGCTTTCATCATCCTAATTTGCTATGACAGAAAACCTGTGCATGGCAAGGCAAGTTTCATGTAGCCTTACAGACATGCTCATCGCCTTTCCATCAATCATAGCTGTAGCATGTTGGGTCAAGGCTAGCAATCGGGTTTGCATGAATGTAAATGGCCATCGGTACCACTGTTATTATTAAGTCCTGAATATGGTCCTAACATTATTAATCAACCATGTGACCATGAGAAATTCACTTATTTAGCTCACAGCCTTTGGAGGGAGTATGTTCCTGCCAACACTGATTTCAGTTCAGTGAAACTGACTTGAGACTGCTGACCTTTAGATCTTTAAGAGAATAAATATGGATCTTTTTAAAGCCACCAACTCTGTGGTAATTTGTTACAGCACCCATTGGAAACTCATACATCCACTTTACTACGTTCCTCTGCCTTTCAGAAACCTGGGGGTAACATCATGTTTAAATAACAGTTAACTCCAAGTCACCAGCATGTATATTGAACTAAAAACATTTTTAACTTAAGCAGAGGTATTATTAATATACTCATATCTTTTACTACTTACTATGTGCTAAAAAATGAAGTAAACCGTTTCACCTTGGCAATATTAACCTTAGAACAAACCACCTAATGCTGCTATGAACACTTTGCCTTACTGTGAAATTTATGCCGTCTGCCTCAACATTTTCTTTGATAAATAGCAAAGGGTAGGCTGACATTTTCAGCCCACAGAGGTTCTATTTGTGTGGTCCCAACAATAAGAACAAATAGGCATTGACTGGCATGAACTGTTTATAAATTGCTGAGTACAGTTATTCTCAAAGTAGGGTCCACTTGCAATCTTCAACAACAACAACAAAAATGTCCTGTTATTCCTCCTGATGTGTGTTCAGTTAAGCCAGGACTGGTGTTACTTGGTGTTGATGTGCAGCAACCGCTCTTCGCCATTTATCATCGGGGACTTTACTCTCTGTCCTCTTCCACTTCCACCTTTTCCTGGCCATTCTCAATGATTCTCTTGGTGGTGATTTTTTTGCCATTAATGATTTTGGTGGAAGTCAACACCGACTGGAAGTTCCCCGTCCCACCATTACTGCAAGTCATGGCGAAGGAAGAAAGGCCCTCGTTCCCCTCGAAAGCAAAGGAACGAAATCCTGTATTGAAAGAAGAAAAAACACCAAATGCTGGAAACTTACTGCAGGTAGAGAAAAGGGATGCGGACCCTCTGCTTCTGCTCCTCCGGGAGCTTCTCCGACCTCCCAAAATAAGTGGGTCTCTGAACAAGTCAAATGAAAATGGGTGCCGGCCACCAAAAAACTCCCTGAAGACCTCGGCCGGGTCGCGGAAGGTAAAGACGTATTGGAAGTGGTTCTGGCAGGGCCCGCCGCCGTCCACGCCGCCGTCCTGCACTCCTGCCTCGCCGTAGCGGTCGTAGACGTCCCTCTTGTTGGCATCGGACAGCACCTCGTAGGCCTGGGCCACTTGTTTGAACCGCCTCTCGGCCTCCTCCTTGTTCTCAGGGTTTTTGTCGGGGTGCCACTTGAGCGCCAGTTTGCGGTAGGCCTTCCGGATGGTGTTGGCGGAGGCCCGGCGGGGCACGCCCAGCACCTTGTAGTAGTCCACCATGTTGGACGGCCGGCCACGGGACACGGAAAGGCAAGGGAAACGGCGAGCGGCGCGGCTGGCAACCCCAGAGCCCGGGCCGAGGGTCCGGGGAGCCAAGGCCTTCCAGGCGATGGCCCCTTGTGACGTAGCCCGCACCTCATTGGTCGGGGCGGCATCCCAGGAGGCAGGGCTAGGAGCCACGCCTCACGCCCTCTGCCCTACGCGGAGCTCTGTGCTGGGTCTCCTGCGGGAGCCGAGGCCCCTCCCCCCAAAGCCCCGCCCACCCGCCGACACCTCCCACCGGGCCCCCAAGCGAGCTGCGATCTCCAAATAGCGGAAGAGAAGAGTGTAACCCGTGGAGAGTAATTTTCTTAAAGTTGGCTTTCCCTTGGCCTGAGATTCAGGTGGGGTGAATTTATTCACTCAGGGCTGAAGGACAGTCATCGATTTTGTCTAGGAAATTAGTTTTCCCAACGTTTTGGCTTCAGGACCTGTTTTTGTTTATGGGGGTTATATCTATTGATACTTGCTCCGTTAGAAAGTAAACAATCAGAAAAATTCATTAATCAACTCAATTACAACAAACATGATGCGCTATCATACACCGTATTTTTTATGGGAAAATTAGCTTTATGAAACAAAAAGATTTAATGAAGAGTGGCGTCATTTTACATTTTTGCTTCTCACTGGCTTAGCTGAAGAGAGCTAGATTCTTATATCTTCTTCTATATTCAATCTATTGTTATATCACACGTTCCGGGGCCCCTGGGAGATTCCCCTGTGCACTTGAGAGAGAAGGAGAGTGAAAAAGTCCAATAACATAATTACAGAAACAGTTTTGACTTTGCAAAATCCCCCTGAAAAATTCTTGGGGATTGCCCAGAGTGCCCTGGTACACACCACTATCAAACTGATTGAAACTTGCTGGTTGAGCTTATGTGGCTAAACTGGGGACGTTTATTAATAGTGATTATTTCTACTAAAACAGTTATATCACAGCCACAATTTTATTTTTGGCATTTCTTGCCACTTGCTATCTCTCTCCTCTCTCTGACCCTATATTCTTTGCTCTGATAAATGGTGAGGCAACACCAATAAAGATCACGTAGTTCTAAGAGGAAAATTATTAACCAATGAAATCTCTAATTTCATCATAAAGAGTGGTAGATTCAAAAGGGTGTGTGTGCTCTATCCCCAGAACAAACTGCTACCTTTGTATCACCTTGAGAAAATGAATATAAAGCCCTGGACCTGGCGCTTGGTAAACATGCAATAAACAAGAATAAGAGGCCGACTAGGAGTCGAGTGCTGTGTGAACAAAGCAATGTGGGAAATTACAAAGCATATTTGTGGAAGAGCAAGAGATCAGGATGGCTGGAGGGAAAGAGGGCATGGGGGGAGGCATGAGCCTGGGCAGGCGGGCTGGGTCCATCCCCGTTCTGAGGGCAAGGCTCAGGAGTCTGAATTTTCTTCTGGGCCCTCAGAGGCTGTTGACCAAAGTTTCAGGAGCGGTGGTCGAGTGGGGCCACGCAGGGGTGGCTGATGTCAGGAGTCAGAAGGCATAGAGAATGGCTGGGAACAGAGGCGGCTGGAGCCCTCAGAGAGGACCATGGCAGCAGGGTCTGAGAGACAGCGGTAGAATCACCTGGATTCAGTACTTCCTCTTTTGGACCGGGGACCTAGAACAAAGGGAGAAGGGAAGTCACATCTACACAGAAACATTTACTGAGTGCTTAAGGCCTAAAAAAGCCATGGACTTGCACCTGAGTAACAGCGTGACACCAAAGCTGACGCTGAAACCCTGCCTGCCAGGAACCTGGTTAGATGAATAAATAGGCACACCGAGTAGCAGAGGCAGATGCGCAAACTGCTGAAGAACACACCGCAGAATAAAACAATGTTACAGAGATTCCAGGAAGCCTGCTCTGCTTCCCCTGGAAGGTCTCATAGCTTACCAGGAAGGCAATGGCTTTGTTTATGCAGCTTCTTTACTTTAGGAGCATCAACAAGCAGCTCCAGTCCGGCCCTGCCAAAGGAGCTAGGAGCGAGTGGGCTGCTGGGTCTCTAAACTACTAGCTCCAGCTTGAAAAAGAAGTTACCTTCCAGTGGGTTCCAGGAGCTCTCTCACAGACATTCCCACTCTGCGGTTGCCGCCACCCCCGCCCCCGCCACCCAAGCAAGACCACATCTCTGCCCTGTTCCCTGTTTCCTCGGCCACCCGTGCTCCCCACCAGAGCCCATCTCGCCTGCCCTGTAACCCGCCTGGCCGTTTGTCCACTAGAGCCCTCCTGATGGGCAGGAGTGACTTCTAACTTGGTTTTCCGGCGCCAGTCGCCAGCATCGCGCCAGTACAGCCAACGTTCCACATAAATATCTGGTGAATGGGAGAATTAGCAATGGCTTTTGCGTGTTGGGTCTGCTCAGGTTCTAGGGTAGAAGCTTTGTTGGACTGCTCAGTAGTGGTTCTTGGCTGCAGTTCTTGAGAGTGAACGTGGATCACCTGCTATTCATATTAGTAAGCAACATACACCAGTCATGGGTAAACTTGGGACCGAAAGCATCTAGGTGCACAGAAACCCCCAAAAGTTCTGAGGTGCTGCGTGATGCAGGAAAGCCATAAAATCATTACAGTGGTGACTGCATTTACAACCTTTGGCCCCGTGTAATCTACAGATGAACTCCCATGATATTGAGACCTTAGGGGAATTATTACCCTTAATGTTGAAACTGGAGTATGAATTTCAGAAAGGTCGATAAGGGCACACCAACGAGCCAAAACACGGCTCTCCTCTTCCCTTCACCCAGCATCTTGGCCCTGGAGAATGGAGAGTGCTGGGGAGCGGGGCAGAGGAGCTTCAGGGTGCATGTGCGGGTGGGCACACACGTGTGCACCTGTCGATAAGCAAGTGCGAGACTGGAGGTTTGTGGAGGAAGGATGGTGGTACAAGGAAACGGGGTTGTAAGTACTTACTACTCTAAGTACCAGGAAGAGAGGGACCCTGTGACTGTGTCCCATGAGACACCAACACTTAAGTTAGCAGCGTCTCCATGACCCTCCTAACAGATCCCGCAAGTGTGGGTGGCCACCGTTGTTCATGGGCAAAATATCGGGATCTGCGCTTTCATCCTTGGATAATTCAGAACAGCAATGGGTTCCTAAAGGAGAGAGCAGGGACACTCAGTTCTGCCTGCACTCCAGTTTGCCCTTGTGGCAGAAGGGACCTTTCTGTTAGGCAACTACCGTATTTGTTCCCTGACCCTTCGCCTGGTCTGCTGGGGTGCCAGCTGGCACTGGGCGAGCACATTGCTGAACGAGCACATTCTCCGGGGTTGCAAAGCCCTGCCCTGTGCCTTCTCTCCATTTATTTCAGTTGGATAATGGCTGTAGGGATCATTACCTTGAGGCCTCGTTGCTTGTAGATTTCAGTCGTGAACTTATATTCTACTATCGCGGCGCTGCTGGGAGCCAGTGGGTGTTGTGGCAAAGAGCAGGGTCTCTAGGCCCCGGCAGTCACAGCCTGGGACTCAGCTCTGCCACTCGGTAAATGTGAGACTGGCAAATCACTTTGGCTCTCTGAACCTCAGTGCCCTTGTCTGTAAAATGGGGATAATAGTATGTGCTTTTACAGGATAAGTCTAGGGAATTACCTAAGAGGTGTTGTTAAGTGCTCAGTCACCATACTTGGCACGTGGTACATGCTCCATAAATACAGATCACTTTTATTCACCTCTGCCCTTTGCTTCAAAAAGGTCATTGCAATTTCCCAAAGAGTCTTCCTTTCCCTGGCCCTTGGGCCTGTGCCACGAGTATAATTTAAGCTTTGTTTCGTTACTGATTTTAGTCTTTTATACACAGAAAGCTTCTTACTGCCTCTCTGAATGAATGCTGATCTGTCCTGCAAAGGGCCTTCTGTGCACAGGTACCCAAGTGGGCTCCCCTTTCTTGTCATTCCCTACCCCATCTGCACTCGGTTCCTTCTTAGCCCTTTTCGCAAACTCTCATAGGCCTGTTTATCCCTTGAAATTGCCTGTCTGTCTCTCTTGTCGGAGGGGGAGCTCTGGGGAGGTGAGAGACTCATCTGCGTTGGCCTGTGCTGGCGCCCCAAGCCCAGCGCTGCGCCGGACTCAGCCGATCCATGTGGGATGAAAGGATCAGAGATTGTTGGACTGTGAAGGACATTCTTAAAGGTCTCCATGGGCCAAAGGTACGCTTGCAATGTCGTCTTCTTTTCTTTCGAAAAGGCATAGTCAGCTTTCTCTTGCATTTCTGGAAAGGAGGTATACTTTTCAGCACATCACTTTTTTGCCCCTCTTAGGTAACACTCTCTTGGTCTATGAAAATACTAATTTAATGGAGTAAAAGGTGCTAGATTGTTCACTCAAGAATGTGACTTCAGTGGTTGATAAACCTGCCAGTTAAACCTGCCGTTGCCCTTTTTATTGCTAAAAGTAAATGTTTTTGCTATCCATAGCTGACTGACAGCCGTAGTCATTGACGCTATCAAACATTAACTCCATGTATAGATTGGTTCTTGGAAAACTAAATGGCAGAGGACAAAACTCTGGCAAGTGGAACTCTTGGCAGCAAAGGCGGGGCACTATGACAGTGTCAGGTCCCTGGAGTCCGCGTCCGCTGGTCCTGGGCCTGCTGCTGTGCGCGCTCGGGCCGGCTGTGTCCCAGGGTGGGAGGCTGTTGTTGGTCCCCATGGACGGCAGCCACTGGCTAAGCATTCGCGGGTTCATCCAGCAGTTTCAGCAGAGGGGACACGATGTAGTGGTCTTAGCGCCCGATGCCTCGATGTACATCACAGAAGGAGCGTTTTACACCTTAAAGAGGTACCCCGTGCCGTTCCGGAGGGAGGACCTGGAAGCGTCTTTTATCCGCCTTGGGCGTAATGTGTTTGAGAAGCAGCCTTTCTTGCAGCGTGTGGTCAAAACGTACAAGAAAATCAAAGAGGACTCCGCTCTGCTTTTGTCCGGGTGTTCCCATTTGCTGCACAACAAGGAGCTGATGGCCTCCCTGGCCGAAAGCGGCTTCGATGCCTTGCTGACAGACCCTTTCCTCCCCTGCGGCTCCA